GGCTCAGCAAAGAACACTAGGAGAAAGGGGTGGCAAAGAGTGGGCTCCAGGGACCACCACAGTGGGGCTCAGTCCAGAGGGGATCAGATTGAGAAGAAAGGAAGGAGCGGGGATGTCCTGTGCCTTCCCCTGCTACTTACAATCTTGAATGTATCGGTGTTGTTGTAGGACCACCAGAAGCGAAGGTTCTCGAAGCCAAAGCAGCTGGAAAAGGTGCAGGGCAGCAGGATCTCAGTGCCATTGACAGCGTAGATGGTGGCGGCCTTTCCCACAGACACCTCCAGCGACAGAGACACGGGGAGCAGGAAGAGACCTGTGTAAAGGGCCCCACCCTTAATAAAACCCCACCACAACTCCAGACTGGAGCTCTGGAAGGGAATGTGGGGTGGCCTGGAGGTCTCTGTAAACCTCGTGTTAACTTTAGGAACTGGTTCTAGTACTCAAAATTGATCCTTGCCTAGCCCCCTCAGGACAAGTCTCCATGTCTCCCCCTTCTCATTGGCTGTTTGAGTTCTGAATGACCACCAGGGGTCACCCCAACCCAATAAAACAAGTATTTTGCAGTCTTGCTGGGAACACGCACCTCCTCCCACCCCGCAATCCTGCTGATATAGTCCCTGGAGGTGGTTTCCCTGTGCCTACTCAAGACGTGCTGGACCGGGTCCCTTCTACTCGCACTGGGAATTCCCCTAGGATGGTTCACGAACTCCTCATTCAACTTTTTGTTTCTTAGGCAGGGGAGGTGGGGAAGGATAATCCGTGAGGTGACAGAAAAGTAGCAGGCGCAGCCGCAGACACTGCCAGAGGCCTCTCATCAAGGAGCGTTGGAGGCTCACGACCCTGTCCAGAGGTGAGCGTTGGAGGCTCACGACCCTGTCCAGAGGTGAGAAGAGGAGAAAGCGACCCTATTGGGCTGCATCCTGCTCCGCAGTAAGGGTTCAGAAGAAAGGCAGAACACTCTGGGATGGAATAAATGAGTGATGAACTTGCAGTGGGTCTTGGAATTTGGCAGCCAGGGCGGAGCGAATGAAGCAATCATGGGAGAGAAAGTCAGAGGGCGGAAGACCCACGAGGGAGGCAGAGTCCAGACTAACCAGAATTCACGCATTCGGGTTTGGGAGTAGGGTGGGGCAACCCTTCCTGAACCCTAGCCTGCCCCCCAACCTCCATCCATCCCCTGCAGTCCCATTCCACTGACTTGTCTGGGGAACATTCCCAGAGAGCACCGCTGCTTCTTTTCCACGCCCTTCCACCGCCATCCCTCAGCTGTGTCCACTCACAGCAACCTCCTGAGTCCTTGTAAGGAGGCCTGGACCTCCTTAAGGAAACCCACGCACATATCAAGGTCATTGAGGGGTGGGAGGAATTGGACGCCTACCTCTCCTAGCCCCTGGATGAAACGGGCACGGAGAAGGCTTGGGGAGAGGTGGGGGCAGGGGGTATCACACTGAGTGAGGACTCAGAGGAAGGCCCTGAATAATAAGGACCCTTTCCTGAGCCTGGATCAGTGCTCACTCAGTGAAATCTCACCACATACTAGGAAGGTTGTTGTGTGCTATCTAGTTCCCACTCATTGTTGTAGTTAAGTGCCATCCAGACATTTCTGACTCAAACGGACCCTTTATAGGGTTTCCAAGATGGTGGGTTTGAATGCTAAGTTCAGTGTTTATCCTACAAGTGCCCACTCACAGCGATCCAGTATAGGGTTTTCGAAAGCCTTGTCTTTCTCCCCCTGGGAGCATCTGGTGGTTCCAACAGGCAACCTTGGCGGTGAAATGACATAAGGTAATCCACTAGACCACAAGGGCCCCTACTGTGATTAATCATATATTACTGGTGGGAAACTTGGGCTCAGGAAAGCAAAGCAACTTGCCCAAAGTCATAAAAATTCTAGGTAGGGGTAGTTGAAATCTGAACTGGGGTGGGAGTCTATAGCAGTGGATAACAGAGAGTGGCAGCCTGACTGCAAGAACCTCTGTCCTGAAGTTTCCAGGGCACCTTTCTCTTCCCAGCTTTTCTCAACCTCTAGGCCCACCAGTCATGGCCATGGTTGTTGTTGTTGTTAAGGGCCGTTGAGTCAGTTCCGCGAGGAGTTCAAACCAACCTACCATCCAGTGTTTATCCCACAGCACCACACCAGCCATGGCCATGGTGACTCCCAAAATGTCAAAGCTAAAGGACCCAAACTATCCCTACCACCTCATTTTACAGACCTGGCAACCAAGACTCAAAATGGGAGGAGACTCGGCTCAGGTGACTGAGTTGGGAACCCATCTCAGCCCCAGTCTGCTCACAGCTCTATAGTGAATTCCCAGAACTTATTCCCAAGACTGACCCTGTTTAAGGTCCCCTGCCACTCTTCCTCTGCCTTCCATTCTCACTCTCTGTTAAGGATCTACTTTGTCTAACTTAATTCCCTCATGCTACACCATAAACAAGTTTCCTCCTGTTTTGCCCACAGGGAGATGATAATGATGCAGTTAATAATGTTGGTGCCTCTGAGTAGTGCTTTTTAAAAGAGAGATGAGAGCCTAGGAAGGAACCCGGGTACAGTGGTTAAGCACTCAACTGCTAGTCAAAAGTTTGGCGGTTGAAACTCATCAGCTGCTCAACAGGAGAAAGATGTGGCAACCTTGGACACACTATGGGACAGTTCTATAGTATCCTATAAGTTCATTATGAGTACAGGGATTTGCCCAAATTAGTGTTAGGGCATTATTTAAATTGTCCCTTATTTGTTTCATCAGCTTCTATGTGCCTGGAGTCTGGTGGTGCTGTAGTGTTAGCGTTGGGCTGGTAACCAAAAGGCTAACAGTTCAAAATTACCAACTACTCTTCAAGAGTAAGATGAGATTGTCTGCGCCCATAAAGATTTGTAGTCTCGGAAACCCTATACAGAGTCACTGTGAATCAGATTTGACTCAGTGGCAGTGAGCTTGGATTTTGTGTGCTAGGAAATGAGCCCTGGTAGTACAATAGTAAAGCACTCAGCTATAAACCTAAAGGTTGGTGGTTCACGTCCACTAGTAGCTCAATAGGAGAACTATGTGACCGTCACTTCTGTATAGATTACAGCCTTAGAAGTCCCAAAGGGCAATTCTACTCTGTCCTGTTGTTGTTGGTAAGTGATGTCAAGTCAGTTCCGATTCATAGCGACCCTGTGTAGGTTTTCTGAGGAGCAGCTTGTGGCTTTGAACTGCCGACCTTGTGGTTCGAAGTCCAGTGCTAATCCTACAGCACCACACCAGGAGTCCACTCTGTCCTGTAGGGTCACTATAAGTTGGAATTGACTCAACAGTGGTAGCTTGGTTTTGTTTTATGTGCCAAGAATTCATTCCAAAGCAATTTGGGGGAACATCAGAATCATGGGAGGCAACTAAGACCACCGTGGCTGGGCCCGCTCTGGAATTTCTGATTCAATAGATCTAGAGTGAAACCTAAGGATTTGCATTTCTAGAAAGTTCCAGATAATGCTGTGAGAACCACACTTTGAGAACCACTGTTTAATCATCCTAACTCCTTTCACTATACTATTTAATCTGTATGCTAAACAAATAATTAGAAAAAATGGATTATATGAAGACTAACATGGCATCAGGATTGAAGCAAACTGCACTGTGTAGATAATACATACAGCCTTGCTTGCTGGAAATGAAGAGGTCTTGAAGTACTTACTGATGAAGACCAAAGACTACAACCTTCAGTATGAACTGCACCTCAACATAAAGAAAATAAAAATCTTCACAACTGGACCAGTAAATAACATCATGATAAATGGAGGAAAGTTTGAAGTTGTCAAAGACTTCATTTTGCTAAGATCCACAATCAACAATCAAGGAAGCAGCAATTAAGAAATCAAACAGCGTATTGTATTAGGCATATCTGCTGCACAAGAGCTCTTTAAAGTGTTTAGGAGCAAAGATATCAGTTTGAAAACTAAGGTGTGTCTGAGCCAAGTCATGGTATTTTCAATCGGTTCTGTAGAATGAGCACTGGACTGAGAATGACAAGGCCTGCAATCTTAGCCATCAGCCACTCCTCAGGAGAAACATGAAGTTTTCTACTCTTGCAAAGATTTAAAGCCTTGGAAATCCTACACAGAGTCACAATGACTCAAACCTGACTTGATGGCACTTAACAACAACAACATACACTTGTGAAAGTAGGACAATGAATAAGTGAGCCTATAGAAGAATTGGTGCATTTGAATTACGACATTGGCAAAGAATATTTAAAGTACCATGAACTATCAGAAGAGCAAACAAATCTATCTTGGAAGAAGTACTACCAGAATGCTCCTTAGAAGCAAGGATAGCAAGACTTCATCTTGTCTACTTTGGATATATTATCAGGAGAAACCAGTCCCTGTAGAACAGAGGTTGTTGTTGTTGTTGTTAAGTGTCGTCAAGTCACTTCTAACCCATAGTGACCCTGTGTAGGGTTTCCAAGGAGCAGCTAGTGAGCTTGAACTGCCGACCTTGTGGTTCAATCCAACTTTGCAATCTATCACATTAATGCAAAGTGCCACACATTTGAGGGACATACAAAATTATCTACTTAAAAATTAGAAGCCTAACAAGAATGCCCAAGCTTATAGATAGTACCCATTTGACCTAGCCTTGATGGCTTAATTATCAGAACTCGACTAGAGGAAGATAAAACAACAATTTTTTATAAAGGAAACAAGTACAGATTGCTACAATTTTATGAACTTGACCTATAATTATGGATGTTGTTGTTAAGTGCCATCGAGTCGGTTTCGACCCATAGCGACCCTGTACAGGGTTTCCGAGGGTGTAAATCTTTA